CTTACTTTTTTTATGCCTTTGTGTCTATCTGTCTGTCTCTTTTACCTCTGTGAATCATTATTCTGTCTCCCATCTCGACTTTTTGTCACTTTGATGTTCCTTCTCCTCTTCATGAGGCCCCGAAGTCAGCTCCAGGGCTAATGATAACTATCAAAACGCCTGCCATTTGATATAAATAAACTTCTGACTCAAATTAATTTTTCTCTGACCCAAATCACCTCTCTTCATTATGCTATAAAGCTGGAAAATTGTAAGAATCGGAATAGGTAAAAATTGAGAAATACTTTTAATACTACTAATGATAGAAAATAAAGCCATCCTAATGGTATGCCATTTTCCTTTTCTCCAATCTATCACACGCCAACATTTACGCATCTTTTATCATAATAAGAATCTGTCTATGAGGATTAAATATATGTCGCATTTTAAATAGCATTATTAAGGAAAATTTCAAACATTTACTGTCGAAATATTTTTAAATGTTGTGATATGTTTTGACTGCTTAGAAAAAGCATATGCTTTTTCAGTATCTATCAACTTTTGTACAAAACTCGAACGCTTCATTACATTGTGAAGTGATTTTGTTTCAACTTAATTGCATTTTTGTGACTGGTGAATGGCCACTATTTATAAAATTTACATATAATGGAGCAATTTTTCCTTAATTACCTGCAACCAATCCAATTCTGTGTTTCTAGTAGTGTGAATTATTCATTTCCCAAGATAGCTGCTTAAGAATTGATGAGATAGTGTTGGCCCGTCAATGTTATGTAAATAATAATGCGCTTAGCTTCATTTGATAAGAAGGCATGCAAATGGAGATCGTTATGCATGTTGAAAGGCACATCAGGGATAAAAAAATGGCTCATTTTTTGACAGCACCACCCAGACACTGGTATTTAGTTAAGAAAAAATTTTGCTGAAAGTGCCACAACTTCAAATGACTGCTTTCAGCAGACATAACTTCAATTGCAGGTTAGCAATCACTAACAAGAGAGTATCACTGCTAGGCTGATCAAAGGCTTAAATCTTTTCTTGTGTACATAAATAGAATGATTTAGTGTATTTATCACTGTAATTAGGTTTATGAGTACAGTGATTTCCTAATTCAATTAAGCGAGTGCATATTTCCTCCACAAGGGGATATGATATGAACGATATTAACCCGAGTTGCTTTTATTAAATCAAATAATTGTTAACAAAAATGGCATTTCTATAAAATTTATATTATAAGTACGATCTGACTGCAAAGATGCATTGTATTAAGTATTACAATTACCAAACAGAGAGAGAGGGCAAAAAATGAGTAAATTGTAGTAGTTTGCCATTAGCGTCCTTAGGCTTCTCATAGAGGTAATAAATTTGAAAAGCTTGTATTCAGGAGAGTTTAATATAGGTGTTGACGTTTAATTTTACTTCAGCTTCATGACTATTATCCCAAAATTCACCTCAAATCGCTGTAGTAACAGGAAAAGCTAACATTTGAAATTTCATGCGTTTATTGAAAGTGGTGTAAGCTGGGCTTTATGGTATTGAGATGAGATGAAACGCCTTTTCATTCTATTTAATTATGTTCTCTGGTCCTTCCCTCCCCCCTCCCCCCTCTTTCCATAATCTAATTATAATTTTATTAGTAACTGTACCCAATTAAGCAACAACCAATAACTATCATCAGATCATTTCAAAACTGTCCATTGCAGTAAATCCTATCTTATTACCTCTGTATATGATGAATTTGCAATTGCTTAGGACTTTTCCTGACTGACTAAATATCTCCTTTATACTGACCATTAAATTTAAATTTTGGTATCGCAATCACTGGACTTAAACGCCAGTAGATAAGCTGCTACAAGTCTGCATGAATATTTTGGTGGGTCAATCAAAATAAATTAAAAATCGATAAAACGCTATAGGCTAAAGTATCGCGTATTAGATAAAGACATATTTTGTTTTTTATATCCTCTAGGACTCCTAGATTTCAATGATGTCCATTCCTTTAATAATACCGCCATTGAAATTCAGGTAAATAATTATGAAGGAGAATCAATTGTTATGGACAACAAGATTTCGCGTTATCTTTTAATTTCTTTTTTGCTATTTTTTTAAAATAAATGGCTGTTTAATTTACGTCATTTGGTGAGAAAATGCACGTTTTTCGTGCAACTAAACAACCGATTGAACTGTAACACGTAGTCTGGGATATTAAATTGAGCAGGGCGGGGAAATAAGATTTCAAGATATGGAAATCCATAACCATTATTTTTTTTTCAAAAAATTGACTTTGTTTAAAATTCCCAGCAACTATCTTTTACACTGTAACAATAGATTGTATCTATTTGAAAAGTAATTACTTATTTTACAAGCTAATATAAATTTAAAATTTGAAGTTAACAGCAATAGTCCGTACTTTATAAACTTCAGAAATTTTAAAGTACCTCCTCTGTCGGTAAAGCAACGAAGCAATGAATTAGGATCAGGCATTCCCTCCCTTTAAAATTGAATTATACTTTTGAGTAAATGCATTAATAGACAAATAAGAAAAGTATCGAAGTTTGTATCAAATCTGAAATTCCTTCCCATGTGAATAGCTATGCTAATTATCTCAAACATGAATTTTGCTACATCATTTAACTTTAAATGCCTTATTTCGTGAGTTAATTTTTTCTGCTGTCTAGGGACAAAATTTCATTCATTATTAACCAGGCATAAATTGTTCCACTAATACCCCCACCCTTTAAATTTGCTTCCCAAGCCGAAATAAATGTGTTTTCTCCAAACAGATTTGCTATTACGCTTTTTGACATTTCCTTGATACCCATCCCTCCCC